TGGAGGACAGGCAGGTACCTCTGCGAGTGTGGCGAGGGAGCACAGGACTTTGTCTCCAGGTGCCTCAGAGGCCAAGGAAGAGGTGTGCTCACGCGCTGGTTTAGGGTTTCCCCATGGCTCTTGACCGGGGAGGGGATGCACTTTGCGAAGCTGCAGCATCACACCCTCCACAGGGATGTGCTGGAGAGGGCAGGGAGCGAGCCTCTGGGTACCCAGTGGCTCTGCAGCCTGCTTTGCTCCCTGCCCAGCACATCAAGGAAACAAGGATGAATTTAGACGCAAATCCAGCCCACAGGGCTGTGCCCTTGCTTGACAGGGTATTTTTTTTATTGTGCGATCCTTTCCCAATGACTGATAAAATCTCCTTCACCATGGCCTGTCGAGCAGCCCATAACAGCCTCGATGATGGCCAGGACTTGGAGAAAGTTCGTGCTCCTGTTGCATGAATGCATATTGCAATTGCCTGACCTGATTAGGTTAATTATTCCCAATCTGTATATGCTCTCAATCTGAACGAGCAATTCAGGCTCTAGCCCTGAATTATTCTTGGCTGAAACTCTGATGTACTGATGAAAGAGGCAGTCGCATGCAACACGTATTGCGCCTGTCTATAGTCTGCTCCTGACAATATCTCCAGAGTTTCACAGTTAATATTACAGGCAGACAAAGAACTACTGAGTAGAAACTGCCACGTATTGTTTCATGCCCTTCTGAAAAAGTTCTTCTCATATTATGCCATACCATGTGATAAGCTTTCAGTCCTCTGTCTACTAGTTTTAAGCCAGATTTGTGTCAAAACCTTTGTATATGTGAACGGATGGGCTACTTAGCTTATGCTTTCCCTGACTTAACTATTCTTTTTCAGGATTTCTTTTTATTGGCTCCTTCTACTAAACCCAAGAGCTTTTCCTCCTGGAATTTTCTAACAGCAGCGATAATCTGTATTTTAGTATTAATATCTGGTCCCATCATTTGTCAATGCCATGCATCCTTAGAATGAAGATCTTAGCATTTCGATATGAGATTTTAATAGTTCAGTGGGGAGGCATCCCATTTGTTGCATTTAGCTACCAGTTTCTTTTCTTACATTTTTATTGTTGTGTCCTCCTTTAATAAGATTTTAGGGTTTTATGAATATAGTTGCCTTTTTAAAGTCTAAATGTCCTATAATAAAACATTTCTCAGAGGAAAAATTATTTGGTAATAGTATTTTCAGGCATCCTTCTGGAAATGAGTACCATACCAAAAATATTGGGCTCATCCCTTATCCATTAGATTGTCAAAGGAACTGGGGGAGCTGGCTGCCTGCACGCAGGGGACCCCCACAGCCATTCTGCTCCCTGACAGCCCCCGTGCGAGGCTTGAGCATATTTTGGCCAAACCGCTATACCACCTCTGAAAAATGCCTGGACGTGAGATGACAAACGGTGTTTCCCTGCAGACAGACCAGTTCTAATAGCTTTTCTTAAATGACATTTCGCTTGCTCTGTCTCAGCATGGGATTCATAAATATTTTAATCATTCATGACCCCAGAGCTAAATTCCAGGCAGAGCTGGGTTATCTCCCACATGTGCGGTGGGGGAGACGGGCTCTCCCCCTCACCCGGACCCCTGCACCGAGCGTGCCCCACGGGCAGCGTATTGCATTGCCCGGAGGAGCGCGGGTCGCAGCTTAATCATGGGGCACCAGTCAGCAAACTGCACCCAGCCCGACCGATGCAGATAAATACTGGTGCAGATTTCACCCCTGAGTGAAATCAAATTGACTATGAAGAGTTTTGGTTTTTTTAAATGGTGATGGTCAAGAGGCAAATGTTCCTGGGACACAGAGAACATCACTTACGCCATCCCAGCACAGATGGAAGCAGCAGCAGCACGTACCCCAAAAGGCATGGTGATGGAGAAAGAAATGAGTAGGAAACCCTCACTCTGTGATTTTATTTATCCTCTGCTTTTCCCCACCTCCTGAAATAAATGCAGGGGTTCAGGTTTCGGGATGCTTCGCAGTATGTTTGCATGGATAAACCAGCTACCGGTGAGCAGGAGCCGGTTCAGGTCTGTGACCGGAGGGGTACGGTGACCGTTCGCTAACTTACATTTGTGCAAAGCAGACTGCTTGTTGCAGCAGCACGGCTATCAATCCCTTGAGCTGGTTAAATCCCCCATTAACCTGCGCTGGGTTGTGTCTCCTCTTTGCGTGCCACCGTGCAGGAGAGGAGGAGAAGGTCCATCTCCAGCGGGGCTGAGCCCGCTTGCCCGTGGGGACACCACGGGTTGTGGCTGGTGTGGAGAGACCAACCGCGGTGAGCACATTAGACCTGCTGCTTCTGCCAGCTTTTCCCGCATTAATTGATTTCAAAGGGATGGAGCAAGAAAAAAATAGTATTAGGCTGTGGCAGCCAGTACTGTTTCAGGCTAAGATGGAGTGGAGGGCTTCTCAGTCTCGGCTCTTTGGAAAAAAATAGATGTATCATGTCAGATCAAAATGACCATATTCTGGTCACAAAGAAATCAAGCTATTACCTCCCTGGGTGGAAGTTAGCAGCACTTCTCCTGCAGCTGCTGAAGGGTTTGCTAAAGAAATGAAGTCTGAGTGGCTAACGGTGTGAATGCATCTTCTATTTTAGGTGTTCCCTTGTGCCTCTGTCCCTCTGCTCTGCCTGCCTGCGCGGGCATGCCCACGCCTGCCCCTGCCGAGTGTTGTAGGGTCATCTCTAAGGGAGCCGGGGCTCCGTCACACACAACTGTTTCGCAATGTGAGTCTTCTTGAATTGCAGAAAGTACTTAAAAAAGGATGGGAAAACTCTGGGAAAATACCAAAAGTGAAGTAGAGACTGCGGCTTTTTGCAGTAGCAATTATTTTAAGTGAACTGCCTGTAAAGATTTTGCAGTTTTCAGTGTCGTTGGGTTGCGTATTTTGTGCAGACAATATTGTTAAGATGTGAAACATGCTAAAAATTGACCGATAAAAGCACCTGGACCTTTCAAACATAAATAGTGTGTATCAAAATAGCTACAGAGCAGATGGCCTGGCTCCCTGCACACCTTGCTGACCAGAATACTCCAGTAACACACACAGCCAAAATCTTGCTGTCTTCAAAGCTGATCATCTGCAAAGGCAAGGGTTATCCTCATGCTACCCATTATCTGTTAGGCACTAACGCTCCTGCATACGCTAATTAGTATATCCTAGAGGGATAATGTATCCCAGGCTTGCTTGAACTTGTTAATACCCCAGCAAAGCAAATCACCTGCTCTAGAGCTCAGGCACTCAAAAGTCGGTTAGG